ATGGTGAAGTTAACAAACAAAACCACCGCTATTGGTCTGAAACTAACCCACATTGGAGTGCTTTTTAGTGAGTCAGAAGAGTCGCCTCCCATTGAGCGAGAGCCGGCTCCTCACTTAATTTCCTTTCGCTGCTCAGCTCTCACACAGTGGCTCAGCTATGCTCCAATCCCTCCATATTGTGGCCAATCACATGCGAGGATATAGGATAATATCAGAGAGGGTGAGAGACACGACAGTCAATGGGAGCGTGCGTCTGTCCGTGTGAGGAGGGCTGTGCGAGTGCAAAAACACATAAATATGTCTGACACCCATAAACGAAGCAGCATCTGGCTGCAGTTTAAAGACTTTTTTGTCTCGGTCTCTGACTTGGTCTCGTCTTGGTCTCGATACCCTCTGGTCTTGGTATTGTTTTGGTCTTGGTTTAGGCGGTCTTGACTACAAGTCTACAATTTAGCAATGTTGCCCATCTGCAAATAAAACGAATTTAGATTGTTCTGGGCAAAGCGTGTTCGCCTCAGTAATAACCACCATTTTGACTGAGCAGCCTAAATTAGTGACTCAAAAATCCACAGACCAGAGAAGGGGGTGTGAGGGGAAGAGTGATGGACTTAGTAATCAAACTAATACAGTATAGGCACAATGTCCATGATTTTTTTAAAAGATTTGATTATTTGACTTGATTTATAACCATGCTTTACTAATATAACTTGAAGGTAAATGTAAACATTCCACAGATTACTGCTGTAACACCTCACAGTATAAGTGTACCATATGTGAAGAGCTGCACTTAATGAAACCATTTCATTGCTCATCTTTGAAAACATTTCCAGTTTTGATAAAAAAAGAGGAAGACAAAAATACAAGAAGAAAAATGTCCTTACCCTGTAATAATCTGTGCTGTAAATGTCTCTGGACATGCCAAAATCTCCTATTTTGACCAGAAGACCATTCCCCACCAAGCAGTTCCTGGTTGCCAGGTCACGATGCACAAAGTGTTGAGATGCCAAGTAGATCATCCCAGCTGCAATTTGGCTGGCTATATGAAGCATCTGGGACAGACCGAGTTCACCACTCGTCTGCAAAGGCTGTCCATCCACTAGGATCATGGCATCTGGCCCATGGGCTCTGATGAGAAAATCATCAGAGGGTTGCACTGTTAGAAATGCAAGATATTCAGGACAATTTTAATGCAAGACGGTTCGACTTAAAAAACATAATCTTCTGCACAGAAAACGGAATGAGGCCTACGAAGAAAAGAACACAACACCTACCATAGTCAAACATGGTGGAGGTTCTAAGATGTTTTGGGGATGTTTTGCTGCTTCTGGCACTGGATGCCTTGACTGTGTGCAAGGCATTATTAAATCGGAAGACTACCAAAAAATTTTGGAAGTCAATGTAGGGCCCAGTGTCAGAAAGCTTGGTCTGCATTAGAGGTAATAGGTGTTCCAGCAACACAGTGACCCCAAATATACCTCTCAAAGCACCCAGAAACGATTGAAGACAAAGCGCTGGAGAGTTCTGAAGTGGCCAGCAATGAGTCCGGATCCAATTGAACACTTATGGAGAGATCTCAAAATTGCTGTTGGGAGAAGGTGCCATTCAAATCTGAGGGACCTTGAGCAGTTTGCAAAAGCAGAGTGGTCTAAAATTCCAGTTGAGAGGTGTAAAAAGCTTGTTGATGGTCATAGGAAGTGATTGATTGCAGTACCAAAAGACAGTGCAACCAAATATTAAGTTGAAGGTGCCAATAATTTTGTCCAGCCCAGTTTTTGCATTTTGTGGGAAAAGCTGTCAAATTCAAGTTTGTTTATGTTGATCCACTGCACATAAAGGAAATAAAGACGTGTACACCAAAACAAATGTAATTGTAACAATTTTATGGGAGAAATTGTGCATTTTTTGGAAAACTTCCAGGGGTGCCGATCCTTTTTGCCATAACTGTATTTATAGATGGAAGTGTAATGGCTGCTATTATCTACGTGAGTCTTTATTATATGGCGTGCTACTGGGAAAAGCCAGTTCTAACCTTTGAGTCCATATTCTTTTATGAGTCTTGCTTAGGTTGTGGAAGAGGTTTGTTGTGTTAATGTCTGTAGGACTTGTTTGCTGCGTAATTTGTACAAAACAGTTTTCTGCTTAGCGTCAGACTTTCCATAATAAACCATGTCCATGCTACAGAGGTAGCCCCTTGTTTAGGAAGTTCTTTGGTGACCATTACTGTTATCTAAAGCAATGAAAAATATTGACAGTAAACAGTGTGTTTTGCAACATCACAAAATAAATAATAGAGTATAATATGAAACAATAGATGTTTTAATATTGTCATCCGATATATTTCATCCTATCTCTCACAGACACACATTAGTGAATAGCACTGTTACAAGTAGAATCGAATTCTACTGGTAAAACTGTCTGTCATCAAAACCCTGTAGAAGAAGAAAGACACACTTGCTTCAATGCTTGACTTACCTGAGAAACTTATTGAGATCTCCGTGCTTCATGTACTCAAAGACCATGATGAGAGGGTCTCCATCCACACACACTCCGTAGAACTTCACTATGTGCTCGTGTTGAAGGTTAGTGAGGAGCTCAGCCTCACGCTGGAAATCCTTTCTGGCTGCAAGTGTGGGATCCTTCAGCGTCTGGGAGATTCAGAGAGTATTCTGTTGTTATACGATGGTATCACAGCACAAATGTTACACTCGGATAGCTATGGTAACAGTCCTCCCTCATGTGTATATCCATAAGCTTTTCAAAGCAAGGGAGTTGTATGCACTTATGAACAGAAACTTCATTAATTACTTACAGTAAATGATCCTTAAATTGGGCCAGATTCTGCCAGTATCTGACCACAAATGCCAGTTATTTTCTGTACTTAACACCAGTGAGTTGTCACACAGACTTCCATTTTTTGGCACCCTGTTAAGTGGCAGCCTGTTACAGCACTTCCCATTATTGTTGTTGCTGTGCTGTTTTAATGACTTTATCACCCGATAAGGTTGATCTTCCTTGCACAACTAAGTTGAGATGACTCATTGTTTTGCATCTCATGTCCTACAGCCTGGAGTAAGACTTGTAATTCTGAAGGAGCCACAAGGAGCCACAATCAACTCTACCAGAATTGGTAGAGTTGATTTAAATTGGTTGATTTCCTGCCACAGACCCAGCTTTTAAGAATGGGCCAGAAATATTTTAAAGAAGTCAGGGTTTTCTACTCTTTCTGAGCACTCAAAGCGCTTTACATAACTTGTACATTCACCCATTCACACAAGCACATTTTTCTAAGTAACATTCTCACACACACGCACACACACACACACACACACACACACACACACACACACA